AGATAAGGAAATAATAATAATAAAAGATTGTTACAGGTATTTTCCTCAGATAGGAAATCTCAGGGTATTAAGAGATGAAACTTCAGTGATATTCTTTTCTTCAATTTGAGGCAATGACAGATTTTTTTTTCTATTAGATTGTAAAAATAACATAAAGTCTTCATGTCATCTATCCTCTAATAACTGAAAAACATCTATCTCAATGTGGTTATCTTTGACCAGCCAGATCAGACTGCCTTGGAGGGTCTGGAGATTATATAGCACAGGAGAATATAATACAACCAGTTCAAATCTGAGATTACATGATGCCTGCTTTTACTTCAGTTTTAATGCTAAGAATCCTTTGTCACACATGGCAAAGCTTTTCAAGCACAATGATTTCATTTTAATTCATTTTTAAGCAGATTTCCAAATATTTTACAAAACTGAACACTAACATATTTTGGAAGATATAAAATATTTTAAATGAAAAGCAGTTTGGACTGTTGAGGATGCTCTCAATAGGAATTTCAGATAACAAGCCACAGTATTAAATGATAACAAATATCTCTTAAGGATATCTCTTCAGAAAATTAAATTGGTATACCTTTTATAATAGATGAATTTTATAAGAGAAGAAGATAATAGTTAAAAGTACATCAGATTCTGTTGCTGCATGCAATAGTTTATGTCACAAGATTTACTTTTTGATACAGAATTATTCTCACACTTGTTAAAGCATGCAGTGTCTGCAACTCCTAGCACAACAGCTGTTAGAGTTTTTTTAATAGACTTTTTTTCATCTAACATATGAAACATCTCCAGTAGGTCTTTAAAAATGATGTGACTTATATAATGGACAAAAATATTTCAATAATGTAATTGTTTCAAGAGTTTTTATTTTAAATGAAAAAATTCTCATGGATGCATTGAGGAGAGTATTCAAGGAGTTTGATAATGACAACTATGTAAGTATCAGTGTAGGATAGTGAAATAAAGTACAATAACAACAATGTTCATGGTCAGACAGACAAGAGGAAATAGAAGTATTGTACACCTCAGGGATCATGAATTACATGAAAGAATACCTATGTTAATCTCCATTTGGACAGCAATGTTATAAGGTAGGACTTTGGACAGTATCTAGTGTGAAACCAATCCTTCATGCAGAAAAATCCAGGCAAATCCCTGTGCTCACACCTGTTCCATGTTAAGCCTGCAGAAGTAAAGGAAAGTAATGCTCACTAAACATTGTGAAAAGTACTATTCAGTCTGACCCTCTTCTGTTTGTCAGAATTTGGGTCCAGCTCTGAACTTCAGAGATGCTGGCATCACTCCAGCCTGGAGTTCCTTTAATTTCAAATCATTTCTGGGACATCAGTATCCTAGTATGTATTTTTCAGTTTATGAAATGGGAACAAATAATTATGTGATCTCTGAAGCTGCCAATAGGATAAAGGTTTTCAGCAGATAACTAAGCTGTAATCCTGTTTGCCACAGATAGAAGTGGTCAAGTAGTCCTTACATTACCTTACATAATTTCTTCAACTGATGACTAGAATTGGTCTACATTTGCCTCTGTTTCTAAGTAGGAAGAATTTAATACTCTCCAGAAGCTCTTCCTGTATGTGCTGGCTTCTACCATTCATGATGCTACTGCTCAAATGAATATGCTCTACATTTTTTCTGGCCTTTTATCTACAGGGCTGGCACACAAACAATACACATTAAATGCCCTACAGAGCTAAATTATCTAACTATAGAAATTAATACAGAAAAGCAGAAGGCTAACTGAAAAATTAAACATGATTAAGCTGGATAGATACATTTTACTAAGAAATTTGAAAACAGATTAGAGATTGAAATGCCATTTATAAACAGCAATGATGTTCCAGACATTGCAAGCAGTGTGGCAAGACAAAAGACCAATAGACAGATCAGAGACCACAGAAAAGAGTAAAAACATTCATATAAAGGACCATAGGGAATTTAAGGGGAGTATCATTTCACAGAATGCAGTGTGAAATGTTTGTTCTTCCTTCTGTGGATGAGAACCAGAAGGTAAATAAAGAGTTACAGGACGATTTAAAAAGATGGCAAGTGTGAGAGTTCAACCACCAACTAATAATGTTAGTTCAGGAAAGATGAGCAACTTTCACTGTCGTTTCTTAGATATCTGATTCTAGATTTTCATAAGTAACTAATTCACAGATTCATAGAATTGTCTGAGTTGCAAGGGATCTTTCAGATCATTGTCTGGAGAAAAAATCACCTGCGTGTTTGTAAGATTGTATTATATATACAACACAAAATGCAGATGCAGTTAGAATATAACAAATTAAGTGATGAGCATGACCTTATGGTATGCTTTAGTAGCAATGAAATACAGTAAACAGGACAGGAGGGTGAGTGTCACTGACTCAACACATGACTCCAACTTTATTTATCCTTTTACAAATTAAACGGATCTGGGACACAGTGTAACATAAGGCTTAGATATAGAAAAGATCTTACAAGAAGTGGGCTAATATTTATTGCAGTTCACCCTTACAAAAGTTCTAGGTTTGCATGATGGTAGGCTTGGCTGTCTCCCAGTAAACCATGACCATTCCAACTTTTGGTGTGGCTAATCTCAGAGGGCTGTACTTTACTTGCATCTTCCAGTAGTTTTCACAGTGTTGCTCAGGGAATCAGTTTGCAAGTGAATATGGTGTTCTACAAATCAGCAAAAATGGTGAGTCCAAACTCTTTTTTAAGCTCAGTGAATCAATTGTTTAATTGAGGTGAGCAACAAGTATGGGAAAAAATGTTAATAACAGAATGCACGTATCACCATGCTTCAGGGTTTTTTATGTATTCATTCAGCTTTGCTAAAGAACAGAATTTGTGAAAATTAGTGGGTAAACCTTATTTCATGCATCATTTGCAGTAACTCTTTTCTGTATTTCGGCTGCACTAAAAATATCTCCATGAGAGATAAGAGAGGTGCTAGAACAACCAGATGGCACTTGCTTATATTTATAACATTCATGTCTAGGGATAAGCCATATGAAACATACTAAAAGACTATGAAATGCTTGCATCATAAAAAAAAAACAGATTTAAAATTTTTTAATTTTACAATGTGATCTCAGACAATAATTTAAAAGATTAAGACAGATAATTCCAAAAGTATCTGCAGCTTGCAAAATGCTAGCATCATGTAAACAGAAGTGAGCCAATCCAAGACCCTCATTCTAGATATATTCATACACATACACAACTGCTGGCATAAAATAGTTCCTAAATTATAAAAGTATGTTTTTCAGAATCAAGGATTTTCCAGGACTACTTGCTTTTCTTCCTCACTCTGGTGCACCTAACAAAAATATTACATTTAAATTTACCAAATAAAATCTTCTTTTGAATCTTGGTAAGTAACAAGTTACTTACTTCACATGCAGTGAGATTTATTTTTTCAACCCTTCTACAATCTGGGTGGTTTGCACACATAAGCTCCATTAAAAGACACAGAATTCTCTGTGTTTGCTGATGAGTAAAAACTACTAAATAACAATGCCAAATCTTGCTGAAGTGATCTCAGGTTCTCATCCATGGCAGAGAGACTTTTCATCCCTCATAAGTAACTCTGTGAATAGTTTCTTCTCCTAAACTGTAATGACAAGAATTAATATTATTAAATGGATAATGCCTGTAATGAAAGTATATACACTTTGGCCTGTTGCCTTATCATTTCCATGGGAAATCCAGTCCAAAGAATGATTAAATTCATCTAACTAAAGACAGATAAACCACACCCCCAAAAGTGCCTTATTTTCCTGTATTTTATCTAAAAAGCTCTGGATGATCAGCACAGCTAATACTGTCTACCATACAAAATCTAAACAGAGGTTAGATGTCTAAAAGCAGGTTTACTAGACAGTATGCCAAAAGTATACCTTCTTCTGCCATGAAGAAACTCACTTCATATGAAATTATTTGCTCAGTACTACTGATACAAACACAAAGGCTATCCTACTGAGGTTTCTGCAGTTCTGGAAAGCAACGCCATTATTTCCTGCCAGAAACCCATTCCAGTTTGTCAGCACCGTGTTACATACACCTCACCTGGATATAATTTGCTGTCCATGGTCTGACCAGACTAATGGAGGGAACCTTGCAACCTCCCATGCCTTGCTTGGAACTCCTCAGGTTATACAGCCATCACTATCTGACACAGAGTCTCTGTTGCTGTAGTTTTGCATTTCTACACCTAGACGTATGGCTCTCAACAGTGGTTCAGCTACACCTCACAGAAACACCAAGGCACTGACACAAAAGCTTCAGGCCACTGTAAGGTTCAGCAGGTATTCCCCCCCATCAGCATCCTTATTTCCATTCCTTTTGGCTTCTCATTTTCTACAACACACTCCTATCCTCTCCTCACCTCGTTCATCGGGCCCCACCAACTCTATGTTGCCTCCTTACTCCTGTTCCCACTGCCGCTGTTGTGCTGAACTCACAGATCTCTTCAAGGCAGCTAAAGATGCCCCATTTCAGAGGGGTATTTCCCCCAGCATTCTTGCTGCTCCCTTGTTTCTCCTTTTACCTCCCAACTATTCAGACTGTTTTCAAGCATCACCTGAACTTCTCCCCTCATGTCAGGCTCAGACTTCAGCTTCAAACCCAGTTCACTTGGAGCAGCCCACCCCAAAATCCTTACTAGCCCATTTCCGAGCCCATCTCACAACCACACTCTCTGTCCCAACGCTGCCACCTGTTTTCTCCCTCGGAAGACCACTCCACTCCCTTGATGACAACTGCCGGCTTTGCCAGTCACCACCTTTCAGTATTTCCTCGTCGTACCTCGCGCGGTACCCACAGCCCCAGGAGGCTGGGGGGAGGAGAGGCGCTCGCTTTTCAGCCGAGGCGCCGCGAAGAGTCCCCGAGGGACCCAGCCCGCGAGCCCCTCCCTCCGCCTTCCCTGCGGGCGCAGCCGGGACGGAGGAGGAAGCGCGTGCGGGCCGAGCCCAGCGCCAGGAAACGGCCGGCCGGCCCAGGCGCCGGCAGCGGGCAGCCACCGCCCTCCCGCCTCGGCCGCTGGGCGGGTGGCGGCGCGACTCCGCCCCGCTGCGGGGTTGGCAGAGGCGGCTCCGTTCGACGCCGTGACGCCGGCGGCGCTGGAACACCTGGAGGGGTGGCGGCGGTGCCTCCGGCTCGGCCCTGCCCTCCGCTCCTCGGCCGCGGGCAAGGTGAGTGCGGAGAAGGGGGCCCCGCCGGGCTCCGCGCCGGAACCTGCCGGGGAAACGGGTTCCGCCGGCTGCTGCCGGTGGCGAGCAGCCTCCCCCCGCTGCCCGCCCGCCCAGGGGGGAACGAGGCGGCGCGGCGGCCGGGCCTGAGGCGCTGGTGCCCTCCGGGTTAAAATCGGCGAGGTGCAAGATGGCATCTTCCCCCTCCCTTCTGCCGGGCGGTTATCTCACCATGATTATTGCATTTATCCGTTTCTGCCTCCCTTCCTCCCTACATCCTCCCTGGCTCGGTGCCCACTGGAAGCGGGGAGGATGGGGAGGAAAACGGCCGCTTCTCCTCCGTGGTTTCCGGCTTTGCTGCTGGGCTGCCAGGTTAAAATTCGGGCTGCCCGCCACCGTGACCCCAGGGCCGTGCCTCTGGTGCCTGCGCGGGGTCAGGTGTGCACCGGGCACCTATAGCCGATGACATTGGAATAATTGTAACAGAATGCTTCTCCTTCAGAGCTTGTATTTTGTTTAATCTCGATAACCCGCATCCATCTACTGGTGTGTGGTGTTGTCAATCTCATACATTGGGTTAGAATAAAAAGAAGAAAATTAGTTAATCAGTTTTTAGTAAGAGGAGAGGATGAAGGGCGCTGTGCTCTTTTCTTAGCTAGTAGCACTGTGTACACATTCAGCACCAAGTGTAAATAAGTCTCCCATCACCTGGTGCTGTAGGCTCAGGGCCTGTATGGGTCTTCCTTGAGCATTCAGTTTTGCCTTAGTGCATCCAGTTCTGATTTATATCTGAGACAGACAATCTCAGAGGTGCACCATGGAGTCCCCTATCCCAGGTGACACCATGTGGATATTCTGGAGCATGGTGTGAGTGTTGTTATTCTGTTTGGTTACCTGCCATTTTCCTTTATCCGCATGTATTTCCAGGAACCTGTTCAGGTTTTTTGTTTGTTTGTTTTCCTTATGTTTTATTTCTATATCTTCCTCCTTGAGTTTTGTGCTAATTGGATCTAGTTTAATTTGGACTTGCTCTTGTTCCAGAGCAAACTTCTTGGAAGTAAGCTGTTCTGGTCCAGCAGAGCTGTTGTTGAAAGTGTTTGATCACTTCTCCAAAGTGTTGGGCAGAGAAAATAGTAGGCTGGATTTGTTTATGGTCTTTCACCTGATTTCCCTGGTAATCTACTGTTTTTCAACTCCATTCGGAGTTCCAGGGAGTGGAAGATCCTCCTACAGTGTTTTCGTCCTGGCACTAGCTGAGGAGCTGCAGTTTTGATTCTAGTATTTAGCATGAAGTCTAGGAATGTCTCATTTAGACGTTAGCATTTTGAATACCCTATTAGCCTACTGATTTAAACTTAGTGACTTTATGATTTGAGATTTATGCTAATACTGATGCAAAAGGAATTCAGCGTAAAGCTATGGGGATTTCTTGTGTAGTGAAGTGCCATAACTGGTAAAACCAGTTGTGTTTTTCCCATGGCAGGTTCTATCTGAAGGTGATGTGGCTGTTAAATGCTGTCAAACCTTGTGTAAAGCTACCTTACTGTTTAAGTTTCATATGTGAAAAAGTTATTTCCAGAAAGGTTCAAAAGACAGTGTAGTGAAAAGTCAGTTGCTTGCAATTGGAATTTGCCCACTTCTTAAGTGTGAAAGAAGTGTTTTTAGATGAGAGTGATTTCCTCCATTGTCTTCATGAGAACTGAGATTCAGATATACACACTTCTAAAGTTTTGCACGTTTAAGAAAATCAGTTCTTCATATGGAAAATCAGTTCTTTACCCTTTTTTTTTTTTTTTTTTTTTGCATAAGATTATATCACTGTAGGAAGTAGAGTCTGAGAGTCACATATTACAAAGTAAAATTCCATTTGAACCCTATTACAGGGCTGTTTTTTTCCCCCTTTAGTAGTCTCAAGCACGCCTGTCTTGCCCATTCTTCTGTTTTGCAGCCTTTACAAGGCTGCTAAATTGTTCTAATGATTTCCCAAGTAACATTTTCTGGAAGAGCAGAATAATAACAGCTCTTGTCACTCTTAAGCTGGTGTTGAAAGCTTTTGGTATGAGTTGGCAGAAAAATGTGCTGGTATCTCAGCTAATGCTAAACATCAAGAAATATCCTCAAAGACACTTTAATACTTTTTTTCAAAGTCTTCTCCAGCAGCATGGCTCTGAAGTTGGTTCTTCAGGATGTTTTGCAGCTGCTTAACTGTAAAATCACTCTAAAGACACAATTACGCCACGTGATGCAGAAGCATTAAAATACAAAAGCCTGAAGAGTGCAGAATGTTAAACAAAGAACCATGTAGGCAAGAGCAGTGGAGACATTTGACCTTTTGCATGTTTCTAGCAATAGTCTCGCAGTAGCTTTTCCTGCGGCTATTGTAAACAGTGGCAAAACGAGGGGCATTTTGACCGGTTATGCAAGCATTTACGTCAACTTGGGAACTGTCTGTTCCCAGTCACTGAAACAGTGCCCAGGTCCATCCTGTGAGTAGCTTCGTAGGCATCGCCACTGGTTTGGAAACATTCAGCAAACGTGCCAGGCTCTGAGAGCAATAAAGCAAAGTTTGAGAGGGCTGTACATCTGTCAGGGATATGCAGAATGTATTGATCGTGGTCTTGACTCAAAGTGTAGTGAAAGAAGATCACGCTCTTCTTGTTTTGCTGTGCATGCTATACTTGTTTTGTTAATCAAATTTCTTACCCACTGATGTGAAAAGATCTCCTGAGGAATAAGGAGAAGATTATTTTTCCTGTTCCCTACCCTTGCATTGTTCCCCCTCAGGTATAATAGCATTGCTTCCTGACATCTGCACTGATGAAAAGGAAAGAAAGAGTCAGACTCTTGAGTGTTGACGGAGTCAGCAAATAGGGCATCTAAATGAGAGAGGTGTTGGTTTGAACTTTAGAACCATATTTATGACAGCATAGGTGTGGAAAAGGTTTTGTGCGTTTTCGTACATCCTCTGCTTTTTCCATCTGTTCTACAAAGGGAAGGGTTCCCAACACTAACACTCTAGACTGGTTATGGATAGAACGTGTCAGAGAAACTGTCTTCATATTGTCTTTTATAAACTATGCACAGCAGGTGTTCCATATGGCACTTTCTTTAATAGTATTTGGCCACTAAATTTAAAAATACCATTTTAAAGCTGGAAGAACAAATGCATATTACAAAACAATTTGATAATAATTTCAGAGAAATGAAGTGAATCTGCGTTTAGAGTGAGATTAAATACTGGACTGCATACATCCCCAGTTCTGCTCATTTGCAAAGTGATGTTAGATCCACCACTCAACTTCTTCCATGAGACACATACAATACTTATTTACAGTACTTACCCGGTTCTTTCCTAAGGACATGCTTTGCTCAGTGTTCTCACAGATATAAATGGAAAACTAGTAGTCAAGCGGAAGCTGTTGCCTGAGGACAAGCTGATACTATTTGCTGTTCTTGTATTATTTCACAAACAGCTTCTGAAAAATCAGTGTAATCAGAAGCGGTTTAAGATGAGTTATATGTGTGTCTAAATATCGATGTCTTTCTGTATATAAATAGTGAAAGATCTGTGCGCAGTTTATCTAGAAAGGACTGTTGTTTACTTGCTGATCGGCCAACTGTGAGTCTAACAGCACTTATTTGAAATATTTTGCTCTGAGACTGCACGTACCATGTTGTGACTACACGTTACCATTCTTATGTACATGAGATAAAACACTATTTTTAAGAATTTATTTTTCAGTTGTTAAAAAAACAAAAAAGCAGCTCTGTGTTTCATTTCACTATATGTTGTGCTATGAGAAGATGAAGATTACCCATGCCTTTAAATTTATGAATTAATACTCTTTGGTACAGTTTGCAGGCAGTACCAATATTTTAAAAAAAAAAAAAAAAAAAAAGGACGAATGATAGCAATTGATTTGGTCCTTGCACTCACATGGGAGCAAAAATAGGTTTAAAAAACTCAGTGATATTGTATTCACATCTTCATGTCAACTGAAACTTTTCTCTAGCAACTCTTAATACCAGAAAGCAGTGCAGCTCCGATATATTCAATTTCTGGGTATAAGTACATGGTAAACTTCTATTCTGCAAATTTACTGTATTTATCCACAACTGTCTTCTATTAAATTATACGTATTGGGAAGAGAAAAATAAAAAACTTGAAATGATTACAAAAGAAATGAGGCACTGGCTGTCATCCTCAATTTTGACTGCATCAGGAAACTAAGCAGAGTAATTTCCTATTTTAATTGTGCATTCTGCAATAATCTTTCCACATTAGAAGCATAATAATTGTTTTTAGAATAAAGTAACTCTTAGAGTACTCAGTGAAGTATTTATTGGTCATCTGCCTTGTGTAGAAATTATTAACAATCAGCTTAATACACAGTGAAAGGTGGGTCATTACATACTTAGTGTTAATAGTTCTGCTAATTTTGCTGGGTTTATTGTTTGCAGATAGGTCCCCAGGTATTGCTAAAAAATGAAGACCTAGACCTCCAGATTTCTTCATACCTTATGTGTGACTTCTGATGGTTCAAGTCCTTAATGACAGAATCGTGGTCATTTATTGTGCCTACTTTTATTATTGTGGTTTGTCCTCCCTGCAACTGATCAGCCTGAAAAAGACAGCAAAGAATGCTATATAGGCTCCAACTAAATGTAAAACAGGCTCCAGTTTCTAATTTGAGTTCAGTGTTGTTGGCTGGTTGGTTTGCTTTGCATGTCTAGTTGTGTTGTTAGTATTTCTTGTCTTGAGACTTTAAAGGATCAAGACAAACACATAAATGAAATGTTAAGTTTTTGTCAGCCTTTTGTAAGGCTCAGTAGAGAGAAAGAGGAAATGGAGTAAATCATATCAATAAGTGTTAGTTTCAGAAGCGTTTGCTGTGAATGAGAAAATTGGTTCCAGTGAACTCGCATCACATGCCATGTCTCGTGTACAGTGTTAATCAATATGCTGGTGAATCTGTTTCCCTGATGGTTTGACTGACCATCAT